TGCATCGACTCAGTGTTTTCTTGAGATGATCATCCTTTCCTTGAGGGAAGCCCAAGTTGCTAAAGCAGATTTTATGGGTAGTGTTTTTCTACACAGCCAACCTGTAGCCGTGCAGAATTATGCCCTATAGACTTATGAACAGACTGAGGGAGCAAAGTCTGACTCATCTTTGCATGATCAGGATGGAGATCAAATGAAAGACAATAGGCCTGTAAAAGTGTCACATTATTTTTCATTACGTGAAAAGAGGACTTTGGACCACTGAGCGACAGTCCAACCCTTATTTTAACTTTTTATTATAACATCCTAATATTCTGAGAAAGCTTTTTTCTGTGCTGTAAGATATGATCATCCAAATAAACAAAAATTAGTACCGTAACTGAAATGTTAACTAGTATACATGCAAGATTAAGTAATTATTTTTGGCAAGGCAAACAATGTTCTTACCTGTGATATCTCTGCATTGATAATGCTGCTATACTGATGATCCTGACCCAAAGCTGCCATATCTGCTAGAAACTGTCTCCTTTCTTCTATTTCATTTAAAACTGCAGAAAGAGTGATTTTCATTTGTGGAGCACAGAGATAGAATCTGTTAGATTAACTATGACTTATTCTTCCTGCTCTATCTGGATCTGTGCTTCTAGCTTTACCTTCCTGGAATCGGTCTGTCTCCTCTGATTCTTCCTGTTTGCTGTCTCCAGGTAATTTTCCAGGTGAGCCAGTTTCAGGCTCTTCAGTTCCTGTTGCCATGATATTCTGAAGCCGTCTCTTTTCTTTTTCCAAATCCCCTGAAGATTGGCGCAGAGAAATGACCAACATTGATCAGGATGTATAGAAATCCTTCTGTTCATGTTTCTGCAAACAGGAGGAATTAGATTTTTTTTGTGTAAAATATTTCATTTACTTACGTACGGGACCAGGGTGAAACTTTTCCCTCTCGTAACTGTTCCCAGCCTGACAGGATTCAGCACTGCGTCTCTGAGACATTCTGGGTCTGTGTTGAGCAGATTTGCTTGGAGGTGGTCTGGAATCAGAAATCCGGGACAAATCTGCTCCTCCTTAGGATGAAGAAGTTTTATTCAAACACAACTGAATCACTTTGCATGGTCCCAAAACTGATGAGAACAGTACTTAACTAGAAAAGCATTAGAAGAGCTCAGAGCTCCGCCAAGCAGCAAATTTCGACCCATATTGTAAATAACACCTATAGCTAAAACATGATCTGGATCAGTACCAAACTTTACTGTAGGGATTGTTCCTTGGCATGAGGGACACCTCTGATAAAAATGTGATCATAATCCATTCATAACTTTATCACTTTATCCTTTTACACGGATGGACAAATACACCATCTTTCCTAAAATCATAACCACCTATGCAGACGTAATTATTGTTAAAATATATATGTATACAGTGCCTTGTGAACATATTTATACACAATGAATAGTTGTGATATTTTACTAGGTAAAATCTAATGTTTCAATGTTTTGTCATTTATTATAAAAGTTTGTATAGTTGTGTTATACTTTAATTTACTGGATTTCGTTCAGGGGCATTGGAGTCAACAGTAAAAGGAAGATGAATACAAACACAAGGCTTACTTCTCAAATTATTAGTTGCTTAACAAGCGGGAAAGGTAAGGATAATCCTTCAATTTATCAATTACATATCACTTAGTATTTCAAATAAAATCTGAAATCATATGAAATCTGAATGAATTGTATGAAGAGCACGGTTAAAAACTTAATATGGGGAAAAAAGTCAAAACACATTAATACTTCTTTATGGTTTTACTGTTTCTGACTTACTGTTTGTGGACCTGTTGATCTGTTTTCTCTGGAGGAGCATAAACCTGGATTCTTCTTTCCTCACTGAACAAATCAAATGAACATAAATTATAAATCGGATAAAGGAGGGCTTATCATCGACTGCATTGCGAAATACCATAAACTCAACCTCCGCTTGCTCAGCAATGTCTCCATGTTTAGCATTTTATCCTTGAAATTAGTTAAAGTAAACTTACTTTCCCTTCCTTCAATCAAACTTTAGCTATGAAACTGATTAGACCGAGATAAAAAAACAAAAAAAAAAAACAATTGTAGAATATAATTTAGTTATGTAACCAGAGTTGGGTAATAACTGGTTACTTTTACTTTGCATAACATTTTGGTAGACACTTAATTTTAGGAGTAGTTTCACTGCATTGCAATTCAAGTAATATTCTTGTGAAGTATCACTACTCCTACTTGAGTTTAATTCCTCCCTACTCTGACTGCTGTGAGTAACCATTCAGAGATCAAGTGGATACACTGTAAACAGTAGATATTGTCAGTGGAAGAATTGGTTTTATTTTGGAAAAAAATGGATTTGGATAACTTTCTACCTTACTTATTTCTTTTTTCATAATAATGTTAGTTATTTGTTTGTTTTTTGTGTGTTTGTCCTTTTCCTTGAAATATCAGATCTTGCACATACCTTCTGCTGACAACATAATTTCTAAACATTAAATCAGGTGGCATGGTCCAAATTTTTTTTTTACTCTTATCTCAATAATTTCTTTAATTACTTTTTTTTTTTTTTTTTTTTACTAGTGCTCCTCTTACTTTATTACCATGTTTAGGTACTATATCCCCCTCTGCATGTAACAAGCCCTTTTTACTCACATTTCAGCATTTCCTGGGTCTCCTTGCTGCACAGTGAGGGTCTGGGGTTATTCCAGAGTCCTCTGCCTCCTGTGGGCTGCTTGAAGGTTTCCATCTGTAAACTCCACAGTCATACATAACGCTTTATTATGAAACCACCAAAAACAAACAAAAAAATATGTTTTTATAACTAAAATTATATCTAGGTGGAGGAGGGAAGAATACTCTAACCAGAAACTGTACAAATAAAATAAGTTGTTAAAATGACTAATAACTGAGTTACTGATTTTAACATCTAATGTTGGAATTTAATTCATTGTAACTAGTTACTATTACCATGTCTGCTTATATGTAATTACGCTGGTACTATAATATTTAAATCATTTCAGTAATAATAGTTTGTATCATCAGATGTATGCTAACAGTGGAAAACAGATGAATAACGGAAATAAAAGAACGGTTGCTTTTATAAAATATAGGTTACAAAGCTGCCACCCTAAAATTAATATTAACAAGTTTATTCTAATCTTACTTGCTTTTGTATTTAAGTTTTTCGAATAATAAAAGAATAAAAGGAAAAAGAAGTGAATCCCACACTGCGATCAGGAAGTCGGCGATAATATGTTGTCATAGCAACGGCAAAACAACAGGAGCGTCCGACTTTTTTTTTTTTTTTTTTTTTTTGGTCTCCTTTAAAGTTATAGGGGCCCATTTTTGCTGCTTAAAAACACATTTCGATTTCAAGATTTTAATGTGATAAGATTTATGTGTTCCTTTTGATTCAGATATAAGATTATAAGTTAAAGTCTAAATTGTAATCTTTAGTTTAACCTTTAAAATAATGACTTAAACTAAAGATCCAATTTATTGGGAAACTATCAATATAAGAATTTCTGTTGCATACCTCCGAACATGTTTTTAATCATGACTGAAAGGTGAATTCTAGACCTACACAAAACATTAGCAGAATACTATGAAGAAAAGATTAAACATAATTTCAGTTTAAAAAACTCCTGATCTTCACCACAGAAATTATAAAGGCGTTTGAAAAATGGTAAAATATCCTCATGGTGTTTCATTTCTGAAAACACCTGTATAAGACCTTAAATCTAGTCAGGTGTTTGGGCATTTTTCTAATAATCTTCACATACCAAACATACAATATATTAAAGGCTATTAAGTCTTTATTATGAATGTTGTAGGATAGAGACAGAGTCTTTATCAGTGGCGGGCTCATCATCAGGGATCAGCAACAGCCCTTATCAGTGAGTAGGCAGCAGGCTGCCTTTAACCCACGTCTGCAGATAAACAGCAGCCAGAATATAATCACCTTTCACACAGGGGTCTTCCCAGAAGCTGCACGTCTGCACCGAGAATCTACATATGAGTCTGCATAAACAACAGGGCTCAACTTTCAACAAGAACACAAAAGAGGCTGGCTTTTGTCAAATTCTTGAATCTAAAATAAATATTTTCTTTACAGTACTTCTACATATCGTCTTACAGCATTTTTGTTTTGTTAAGTTAACTTTTCTAATAAATAGGCTTAAACAAAAATATATATATATATTTTTTTATTCATATTTACATTTTACATGAGATTGAACCCTTCTAAGATGTTCCCATAAGGTCAGCTTTGTGTGGCAAAGCTAATATGAATTGAACTGTCCCCAGTCTTTTGGAAATAATGTAAAAATAATGATCTACTTATAAGATAAATCGAAAAACAAAAAAAGACACACAAAAAAGAACTAAAAATGGGTCCCTTTTATAAAGCCAAGTACATCTCGTTATTTATTTAACTGACTTATTTGATTTTATCTGTTTTCAGCTCCATTTAAAAAATATATATAAATTTTCCTATAATCATTTAGTTTAAGTCAGTCTTTTTTCTGTGCCTGTAACACAGATTCATCGAGAGCTTCAACTAGTTTTTATGAATGAATGATTTTATCATAATGAAATTTGCTATTTAATGCAAAAAAAAAATCTGACATAGTACAACATGACACAAACTGATGCACTTCGAGTTTATTTTAGGTATCTTTTGTCAACAGATCCTTCTTTTTTTTTTTTCTCTATGCACTCCAGAACAGGAAGACAGTCAGATGAGCAAATTAAAGAACAAAGTTTTTCTCACTAGTGCACCTCCTCCTTCTAACGGTCTAAAGCTACATGAAAAAGAGAGATTTGAAGTTAGGCTAACAGCTGACAGAGACAGACAAGAGACATGAGGAGAGATAGCGATGAGCATTGAGGAGACTTTACTTTTTTGAGGCCCTCTGGCTCTGAGGGGACGAGACTAAGCCGAGTGGCCTCATCATTTTAGCTAGAGAGGGAAAGATAGCCATGAAGAATTAAAGAAATATTTTTAAAACCCCATTAGATTTAACTTCTAAACATTAATTTCATTATATCGTCCTGCTGTTTATCTGATCTGGGAGCTTAATGGCCGTTACTCAGGCTGCGCTCCCTTCCTTCAGCTCTTTCTCCAGCCTTTCTCCCTCCACCGACGTCATGAAGGTGAGTATTACAATGTATTTATCTGTCTTTAATTGTGATATTCAAGTAAAGAAATACTTTACCCTCATGCATATTTATTTGTGGTATAATTGTGGATTGGTTTTAATGATAATTTGGATTTAAATATTTTTCTGAATTTATTATTATTATTTTTTTTTTATCAAAGCTTAGCTTTAAATTTAACTACATGGATACATACAAAGCTGGCCCCAAAAACTAAGCTGTTGCGTAGAGCCCACAGACCTCTTAAGTTCTCCATCAGTGGATCCATGTTTTATTTTTTATTCCCTAATCAGCAATCTAAAGATTCTTTAGTTCTTATTTATTATATTTGATCAATAATATTAAATTTTTTATTTCCCTTCAGCACAAATGAAGTATTTTTTATCAAATTGAATTAAGATAAACTGATAGGTATACCAAAATAAAATGCCAGTTTGATAGTTAGGTTAGCGATATTAAAAAAGGTGATACCTTTTTTGAAAAATAAGAATCTAAAGTGTTTGGTATGCATTTTTAGGTTATTATTTGTGCTGTACACTTACTGTTTGGTAATTTATTAATCAGATTATTTCTGAAGGTAATTGGATGCATTAGATTGCATTTAGGGGTAAAAGTGTAAAGGGGGCCTAATAAAAATGCACACTGTCATTTAAGTTCTTTAATTGAAAAAGAAAACTAGAGCTGAAACATTTGCAAAAGGCCGAACAGTTATAAACAACATAACCTGTCACATCAAATTTGAATAAATTAAAAGACATTTTTGTGCAAGAAAGTAAAGAGCAATTAGTATGATCAATTAATAAATCAGAAGTTCTTTGTAATCATTACTATTTTGTGCATTTAGTTCTTCAAACTTGCTGCAGGGTGAAAACTTTTCATTTGACAATGTCAATTACTTTAGTGAACTGTTTTCTGTGGCTGTTTTCTTCAGTCACTAAGCTATTTAGAAGAGACAATCACGTCAAAACATGACAGTAAAGAGAAAGTCAGTATAGTTTTTTTTTTTACAAAAAACATGATTGGATGCAATGAAATTAAAAGAACTTCAAGCAACGATAAAAATAATAATTATCATAATTACCATAATACTGTTTTATTATAGATACAAAGTTTGTCACACAAAATGACCAACAAAGATAACAAAGAATGACTGAAGCACAATTGTTCACACTTTTGTACACTTGTATTTAAATATTATTGTTCTGATCACCATTCTCTAATAAATTAAACAATACATGAATACATTACAGTATGAACAAATTAATAAACTATAGAATATTTTTCACTAATGCTTTTAATTTAAAAAAAGTTAAATAGGAATAAGGAAGAAGCTAAACAACCCGATTGGCCTGCTTGTCATACAATTAGTAAAGGAAATGATGGTTAGGTAATCTAAAAGCATGTGGAGTTACCTTCATCAATAAAATAAGCAGGATATTTTCTGTGGTGTCTGATTAGCTCCCAAACCCAATCTCATTAACATAGGTACCTACTAAGTCTTTGGGCTAAAGCTGCATATTTGTGTACTTCAATAATTATTGTTTCCCTGTAGGACCCTTTCTAGACAAATTACATTTACTCATTCACAAATATTTGAGTCACTTTTAACAAAAATTTACTTTTAGACGTAGTTTTACTGCACCTTACTTTTTACTGTTGTTTTGCTACTCCTTCCAGTGTGAGTAACCTAAAAGAATTACCATCAAACCTGTTTTCTAAATAGTTCTCAAGACAATGACACACAGTTAATGTTTACGTCAAAATAAGACCTATTTTTTGTACACAAGCTTACTTTATATTTGGTGAACCTACTGTTCTATTTCGAGGTTAAGCGTATAAACAGTGAATGGTAAATATGGTCACTTCTGGTGCTGGCTTTACTCTGAGGAAGTGCTTCGTCTGCCTGGATTTCTTATATTTCAGTTACATTATTTATTTGTTTCAATTATTTAACTCTAGACTTTAAAATATCAGACTTTCAGAATAAATTTGGATTTTACTCTATTTTAAATAGTAAATCAGATGCTCTGAGTTACTGATGACTGAAGTAGCCTTTTTTACCAAATACTTTTTTTATCTTACTGGAGTCATTTCTTGGATGGCTTCTCCTTCCTTTCACTTGAGTTGAAATAGGATAAAGTAGTGCTACTCTTATAGGTAGTCTACCCTCCTCTGCCCTTTTAACATCCACAGCAGAGGAGGATCATGAGATGCATGATGAGTCTGTTTTCTGTGAAAAACTGAAGTTTAAAATTACACTTGTAAATACTGATTGTAAAATGTGGAAACAGAATGTAGGATTCTTCTTGTAATTTTGATCTCTGCATACCCTTGATCTAGGTGTGGAAGTCCAGTGATGGTTCTCTCCCTCTGGACTCTCCGATCAATAAGCTGTCACCAAGCAGCTCTGACCAGGTCCATGTCAGCCAGCAAATGAAACAGGAGCTCCTTGATGATGAGAGCCAGACATCGTGGGACATCGAGCTTCTGCTTTCTGAGTGGAGCAGCAATTCTCCCGATCTCAACTCTACTTTAGATGGTCAACTACTTGCTCAACCCGAGCCAAACCTGCCTTACCAAGGGATGGGTATGTTCAAGGAGCAGACAGGGCAGGAGACTCTCCAGATGAGCAATGGCGGCCTCATGGCTGAGCTCATGTCTCCAGCTGAAGCCACATCTGTGCAGCCTGAGATCTACCATCATGATTACACCTGTGACCAGCCAGGTCGAGGTGTGTTTCTTAATGCACAGAACATAAACCAGTTTGACATCCCTCATGGAGGCAGTGTAGACAGACACAGCAGAGGAAGTTTCAATAAGTTCACTTCCTGGGACTTTAACCATTACTACACCCAGCAACACAACCCAATGCTCACCATGCCAGATAACAGGTTCATCCAGCCACAGGTCATGACCCCTGACCCCCGGCATTACAGCTACGTGCCCCAGTTTGGTCCAAACTCCAACCTGTGCGGTGAATACTCCCACCACCATGGCCAAGCCACCCTTCATTTGCCCAATCATCAGCAACCCATACTGGTCAGGCAACATTTGCCTCCTTGTGGAGTGGAGGGGAAGAGGGGCAGGAGACCCACTGGGAAAAAAAAGCCTGCCG